GTGTCAGCTCCTTCAGTTTACAAATTGACTTAATTTTCTTCTCTGTAAGCAGAGAGGATGCATTAATTTTGGCTAGATCCATCTGCAACAATATACAGTTTCTTAATTTAACAATGAAATATTTTTAACTAGCAATATTATTTTTTTTTAAATTACATCTAGTACAATATGTATATTTTTAATTTAACAATGATGAAATATTTGTAACTAGCATTATTTTTTTTTAATTCTATCTAGTACAATATGTATATTTTTAATTTAACAATGACATATTTTTGACTAGCAATGAAATATTTTTGATTAGCAATACTATTTTACTCATATTTAGATTTCGTTAAACACAAAACTACAAACATTTTTAGAGATTATAACCAAATAATTTCAATAAAATGCAGCAAAAAGTTATCAAGAATAATTGGAAAAGATAATGACGAACTCCAAATATTATTTGCAAAACTTCCATAGAAACATGAATTACCGCAATATTTAGAACATAGATTATAACCAAGTAATTTCATTTCAATAAAAATGTTTAAATCAGAATAATTATTAGGGAATTATACTTTTAACTGACAATTAATTAGTAAAGATAATGATGAATTCTAAATGATATAAAAAGGTTAAGTATTATAAAACTTACTTTGTATAATTGCCGACACTCCACAAACACAGAAACTTCTCCAAACGGTACTTTGCACACAACTTGTCTACACGACGATCTGAATTGAACTGATGATTGTATAGCGTCTGCTATTTATCTAACTGCCTCTCCCACGCTAAAACTATGTTGTGCAATCATGAGAAAATTCATTTATGCATGTCTTGCTTAATTAGAAATATAAAAAATGTCCACATGTTTTCCGGCGTTCGTGTGAATATTATATCGTGAGAGAAATTCTTAATAGCCGACAATGATGTCACCATTCTCAGTAATATATTTTATGTCACAACACATGCCTCGCTTAATTAGAAATATGTACATGTGTTTCCGGTTATATCGTGAGAGGAATTTTTAATAGCCGACGTATCCTGGTGATGTCATTATTCTTAGAATAGTCTGATGTATCGAATTTGATGATAGCAGAATATATTTCAAATGCGAGACGTAATCTTCGTTATTATTGGGGGAGTGGGGGGGGGCGTTTGGGCGTATTTTCATTACATCGTTCTCATTAGCATACGTTGATTCATAATCTTCGTTATTATTGGGGGAGTGGGGGGCGTTTGGGCGTCTTTTCGTTGATATTGGGGGAATGGGGGCGTCTTTTCGTTAATATTGTGAGCCCTCATTCATCCATGCACGTCTTTCTCATTGGACGTTGATGCACACGTTCCCATTGAGGACGTTCCTATGTCACCATTGGTCAGCAAGACACGGGGGACGTTTCTATGCTCCCATTGGTCGTAGATACGTTCCAACGTCACGAGGATGTCCACCATTGGTCTAGGATAGGTTCTAAAGTCACGAGGATGTCTACCATTGGTCGAGGATAGGTTCTAACGTCACGAGGAGGCGTTACTATGCTGTCATTGGTCGCTGGGGGTGTTGCTATTCCCACCACTGAAGCTGCTATGCTGCCATTGGTCGATGATACGTTTCGATGTCACGAGGACGTCCGCCATTGGTCAGCAAGACACGAAGGACGTTCCTATGCCTCCATTGGTCGAGGATAGGTTCTAACGTCACGAGGATGTCTACCATTGGTCGAGAGGTGTGGCCTAGAGACACGAGGCACGTTCCTACGTCACCATTGGCCGAGGGGCGTGGCCTAGAGACACGAGCCACGTTCCTACGTCGCCATTGACCGAGGGGCGTGGTCCCGAGACACGAGGTACGTTCGGACACGAACCGCCATCTTGAAAAACGAACACGAGCCGAAGATACCCGATCTTGATGCCAGAACGAACATTACCCATCTACTAACGCTTGCTGGTTTAGTTTTATAATTTTACTTTTAAAGTATGCCAAATAAAAATAATCTTTAGGATAAAAACGAGTGAACGAGAAAACATTCGGAAAATGCCTGATCTAAAGAACTCCAAACATTTACACCAAAATAAGCTAGAGCTTCGTTTTCTTCAAACCGCATCTCATTAAAATTGGCTCCAAATATTTTTCAGGGCAGATACAATTTTATTACTAAATCTTCTTCTTGTGGTGCCTATCTTCTTCTTGTGGTCAAGGAAAACCATTTTCGTAAGTTCTGGAGCCAAGATATTTTTCTTCTTCCTGGTCCTCTCTTTCCGGAGACCTTCCCCTGTAATATAAGTTGCAGCAGGTTATATCTATGATTGTTTCGCATTATATGTCGCAAGATATTCTAGCTTGCGCTGTTTCACTGTGGATATACTTTAACATGTTTTATCCATCCGACGTAGAATTTGTTATTCGGTGCACCTAGGAGATCCTCAGTATCCTTCTATAACAGCACATAGCAAACTCCTCGAGTTTTCCCATGGATGCCTCGGTTAGTGTCCATGATTCAACCCCATAGAGCAGCACTGTAAACACGTAGCATCTCAATAAACGGATTTTCATTTTTAAGGGTAGGTTCTCTCTTTAAGGGGCTCTCATTACTAAATAGCAGTTCATAACTATTTAAATTTCCTTTTATAAAAAATGACCCAATTAACTGAGTACCTACTATTTCCGATCATACATTCAGTTCTGGTGGTCTTTGAGTATTGTTTTCACGTATCCACTATGGAGTTACCTCACTTCAATACTTTAAATTTCCCCGATTTACATTCCCACAGAGTGTAAATATTGCTTCGTCGGAAAAACATTTTTACCCAAGTTCTCGTCAATCCTTATGTAAAACACGTAAGTCTGATGAATGACCTAAATCATGTATTTGTGCAGTTTTGGGTAAGGATGTATGTGGATTTTTGTCGAAACTCTGCATTAAATCTAAAGTTTTTATTATTTAAATGGGAATAAGCCACAATTAAAGGTTAAAGTAAATTTATTGACGTTTCAATTAACACTTCGAAAATCGTTCTCAAAATACAAACATTTCTCAAAACTAATGTTTGTATTTTGAGAACAATTTCCGAAATGGAAATTGAAATGTCAATAAATTTACTTTAACCTTTAATTGTAGCTTATTCCCATTTAAATAATAATTACTTTAAAATGTCACAATAAAATAGCTTCAAAACAATATCTAAAGTTTTATTGTAATGTATAACAGTTCATGATCTATCTGTTCGAATGGAATCTTTTATTCGTTCAGTTTCCTCAAAGCGCTTTACTCTTTTTTGAATCGTCGTTTTATGGATAGAAAAATGGTTTGGGAGAGTATTATTGAACAAGTTAGGTACTTTATAATTCGCTCTTTTTTATTAAAAACTTTCTTTATTGTAACACATAAAATAACTATCAGCTTCATCAACGAATACAAATCCAGACATAAAAATTTTAGTTTATTTACAAAAAATGTATTTACAATTACACTGGTTTCGTTTATAACAATATGTCAATATGATGGGTTTAAAAATCGAAAGTAACAATTATAAATATTTAAAATCGATTTCCGTTAAACAAAATTTTAAATTACGGCAAAACTATCAGTCCTAGTTATAGGACATGCCTTATATTATTCAAAAGGGATAATTTTTTTTATTTAATAATTCATTAATATACAGGGTGTTCCATTTAAAATAAGCCTTATATTACACATTGAATAATCCAATAATGAAACTATAAATTTTGAACACCCTGTAAATAAATGTTTAATAATTAATCATGAAATACATTCGATCAATATCCAGCTATTTAGATGTATGATTTAAATTTGGTTTGGAGTAAAATATAGTCTGATCCACAGCATGCTCTGCCTGATCACATCTGAGATACAATGTATGTCCTTATGTGGGAAGCATGTGGAACTTATAACCATGCTTTTACTGGTGGGAAAATTTATCAAAAACTCCCCATTCTCGTTTGTTTCATTGTGCAGTGGGTGTTTTCCTGTTACTGTGACTCCTTGCCTATTTTAGCATCCATATCACCCATTATAATATTGATGTCATTTTTGGACGCATTGTCATATAATATCTCCAGCTGTTGGTAGAAGCTTTCCTTTGTAGGTATGTTGTTCTTGTTCTTCTGGTTGGGCAGTGAATGTTTATCATTGTTAGGTTAAAGAAGTGGGCGCAAATTCTTAACTTGCATATCCTTTCACTGACTACCTGGAAGTCAATGATTGACATAAATCATTATCTACCACAAATGCAACTCCACATTCTTTGCTTCCTTTTTCCTTCCCACTATATAAAATCGTGTACGTTTTAGTGTTTCTGACACCTTTTCCCAGCCATCTTGTCTCCTGAAGAGCAGTAATCATGACCTTATATCTTTTTAGTTCTTGCAGAAGTGCGGTTTGAGCTCCTGGTTAATTTAGTGTTCTCACATTCTAGTTTCCAAATATATATATATATATATATATATATATATATATATATATATATATATTTGGTCATGTTTCGTAGCTTGAGTCGTTTCCGAAAGCTATTAGCGCTATTAGCGCTACTCTCTGAGATTGCGCAGCCATGACATTAGTTCCCTTGCAATGCTACTCTTTTCTTGCAATCAACTTTATTGTTGATATTTTATGGATTCGATATAGCTTAATAATTATTTAAAAAGGCGTAATTATGTTATAACTAATTAAATGACTCAAACTCTATGCCAAAAACAAAAAAAATAATTCAGAACTTTAGACTATAAACACGGCGCCGTCGGACATTACTAAAGCTGATAAAATCGAAAGTATGAGTAAGAGAATGAACTATGAAATAAGATGAAGCTGCGGTAGATCAAAACTTGAAAGGGTAACTACAATCGATTATGAAACCTAATGGAAATATACTGCCATAACCAAGATGCAAGAAAAATATATCGCATTGACCAAGAATGACATAATTCAAAAATGGATAACCTACTCAACATTATACGCAAAAATAGTTATACACCCTGTTGAATAAAAAAACAAATAGTTTAAATGGTTTATTAATGTATATTCGGGCAACCTACTGCAGTCAATCTTGTAAATCAGCAATGATACCCGAAGGCTTTCCATACCTTCTCGCGGCTTCGTCAATAAAAGCATTCTCTATGCTTTTAACCAACTTACCGAAAAAAATTGAAGCCACGTGGGAGTAAACAGCATTTTTAAATTTAAACCTGATAGAGAAATCTACAATACACGTCATCGGATCGCCTTCGGCAACAGAGCTAAATCTCCAAACAGTTTCCAAGTATTCGAAGAGCCGACCATCTGCACTTTTCGCGAGTACTACATTTGGTCTGTTCATTGTAACAACTGATGTGTAATTTTCGCATATTGGAGGAAAACCGATTTCTAAGTTTACCCTTATCTCATCTGGATTTTGGTTTTGGATCGTTGATTTGGTGCAAAATGGTAAGAAAGTTGAATAGTTTTGGACGTCGGCTACCACTTCGTACATTTGTTCTTTAGAGAAACTAAAAGATACAAAATTTGATTATGTAAATTCTATAATTATCAAGAAATGTAATTTAAATCAAATAGTTCAGTATGTAAAAACTGTGGTGTTGGTTTTATAAACTTTAAGGTTAAATCAGCTTTAATCAGTGACATCGATGGGCGGGTCGTGTAGTGAGAATGGCGGCCGAAATATTGACGAAAAGAGCACTAGCAAGACCGACGAGGTTTGTCGCATAGTTTGGAGGAAACCAATGCTCGATTTGGGCTGTAGTGTCCTTGCAAAGAGGGATATAGCGTACGACAGTACGTGTAAATGATAAAATTGTTGTATCAAAATGGGTGTTCTGTTCGGGGAACATTCCGAGCGTCGTCCATTTTATGGGCCATAATCGGCCTTTCGATAAAACTATTCGTAGGATGATGAATAAATTTGAGTTCACTGATTCATTAAACAGTCAACCAACATCCGTATCAGTACGTTAACGAAACACAAGATCTGTCAAAAAGATCACCGCTGTCCATTAGAATATGTAGAAGAATATGAGGCACTCGATATTTCATCACTCACAAAAAATCGACCTTTTGCAGACCACAACTTGGCAAATTTTGGGTCGTGACTTCGGCTTGCATCCGTACAAAATTCAACGACCCATGATAAATATCCATAGACCGTTCTCTGAGTGGGCTTTGGTGCAGTTAGAAACTGACTCTAATTGTCATTAAAAAGTCGTCTTCAGTGATGAAGACCCTTTTGGAAGGATGCATACGTCAATAAAGATGATTGTCAATTTCGGATGATAACAATAAAAAGGCGTCAGAACTTATGGCTGAAGTACCTAGGAATATGGTGTAATTACTCAACCACAACAGTGTTTCCAAAGCTACCATAGCCATTTGGATTGCCAACCTTCAAAGAGAGACGGCATAATAAGACGAAAAAGAAACCATAGGAATGGAGTCAGGCCAAATGATGCATTTTCAATAGTATGTTTTAATCTAATATTGTAATCTATGAACACAAAATTAGATTTTACGACTGTATACACACACGAGAACAGCTCAGGACATGGTCCAGTAGAGCAGTTAAATCTAGGTCTATGTTCAGCAGTGGACTTAATATCAGATGGGAATTTTATATGACTTTGGAGCATTAATCAGATTCAATTTGGACGATGGTATGGGTTATGTGGACTTTTTGGGATACATTACACCCTCTTAGATCTCATCTGGATTAGTTTCATTGTAAATCATTCGAAAATTCTATTGGTTCACGCACCCATTCATCCAAAAACGAGCCTCACAGAAGCAATAAAGCATAAAGGATTAAAATTGCTTGAAAAAAATTAATCTACTTTTCAACTTCTGTCTTCACAATACCGTTGCCCAAATAGAATATAACAATGCTTCAATAAGTTTACTTAAAAAAATACAAAACAAATTTAGAAAATTATGAACCGATTAGTCTTTTAAGCCACATCTATATAAGATTAATAGTTACAAGAATGAAAAGAAAACTGGAGACCTATCAAACTAGAAAAGAAGTAGAATTGAAAAACGGTTATGGAACGAATGAGCATTACTATAGCATGGAAATTCTGATAGAGGAAACAGTGGAATATAAGGTAACAGTAGGCCTCTTGTCAAAGTGTTTACTGATTTTCATAAATGATTCAACACAATTGAATAAAGACAAACCAAAATTCCAGAATGGATGAATACGTCAGTATTTATTACTCCAGTATTTGCCTCTGCGAGAAAAAGTTAAAACGAGGATAAAAAATTAAGGTGACTGACATCGTTGAAAGAAAGCCAAACTAAAATGGAGGTGAGCAGGATACAAAGCGAGATTGACAGATGGTCAGTGGACAAAAAGGCTATTGGAATAGAAAACACGTGTGGTCAAACAAAGCGTCTGCAAACACCAATAGAATAGGCCGACTACTTAAAAAATGAACAAAAATTAGATGAATAGATCATAGATATCGTTAGCTTTGTGAAATTGCAAAAGATAATCTAGCTAATCATTTAGAAAAATGTTAGCTAAACATGCTGTAAAATAATACAAAGATGAAGGTCCCAAGGAATTAATAGGAACTAGGTAAGATCAAAAAACGAATATACAAAACCTTAATAAGGCCGAAAAAAGCACGAAACAGATAAAAAAGAAGAAGAATTCTGGAACGGGCCAAGACCCAAAAAGGGTTATCGAGTCCCTGATAATAATGAAAGATACCTTACAAGATGGAGAGATAATATGGATAAATACTTCGAATTCGAAAGCCATCCAGCAAAATGATTTGTTATAGGTACGGATATACACTTACCATAGTAATTTTTTAGCTTTATATTCTGGCCTCCTTTTAAACAAATAATTTAGAACCATAGTTTCAAGCAGTGTTTTTACAAGATTGACTTCATAGTTGACCCTTAAATGTGTTTTGCTGATTATTTAAAATATTGTATTACATGGTTAGTATAAACGTGACATTTTAATTGATGAATTTCTAAAGTGACAAATAACGTCACGGACGCATGGTATTTATATTTATATACTGTTTACTGAACCCAGTCCGAACTGTTTAGTAAATTTAGTATTTATTTTTTTGCTAAGTTGGCCAAATTTTGACTTCGACCAGAAGTGAATGAAAGTTATTATATAACCAAACCATGGGCGTAGCACGGGGGGTTTTGGGGGTTCAAAGTTAAGAATACATTTATAAAATTAAAATACGAACAGGCATGCGGCACATCTCATTATTTACTAACTAGTACATATGTTATATCATCGTTTGATTCTGCTAAATTGGATGTTGGTTTTTACGCGCACCAAGACAAAATCGAGGATGAGTATCTAAAGGCCGAAATTTTAAATCAGCCTTGAACTCTGCCTAAAGATTATGAGTTTCCTCTTTCTGCAAAACGAAATTTGCGTTTTCTAATGAACTGGAAGGAAGGATTCTCCTGGTCGTCATATTCTGAATATAAAAGTAGAGCATACTGGAGAATTTGTGTCGTAATGAGACGTTAGATTAATGAAGGTAAAAGGGGCCATCAGTGGGTTGGTCAGCTTATAACCAACCCTTTTTGCAGAAAAATACACCAGAAATATTGAAAACTCATGGAAAATCAGGATATCAAAACGAAATTCGGAACTCACAGTAACTCCCTAAAAGTACTTAACGTCTTCTCAGATTTTTCAGTCGATGCTTTATTTGATGCATAATATAATAACACTTGCCTTGGTTTGTCTTTTTGATATACACATCTCTATTTTTCGATCATTAGAAATTATGGTTCACATGTAATCATACTTTTATGAGAAAAAGACAGCAACAGAAAAACCGAAAGAAACTAATCCTTATCGTAAAAAGAATAATTTTCTTGACAAACAAGGGTACCCCTTAAGGATGTGAAACTGATTCAGGACGGATCCACATTACACTAGAGTCTGAACAACCACGTGAGAATGAAAATAATTTTCGAACACTGTTGGGGTGTGCAGCCGATCCTGACGATAAAGATCTTTCTGAGTGCTCACTCAGAAGAACGCCCTTTACACGAACCCTCAAATCCAAAATAAAATAATTGGCTTTTGTGATGACATTATTGAACGCAAGATTTTTATTAAAGTAAAGGATGCTAAATTTTTTGTGATTCTCGCTGACGAGACGATTGACAATGTGCGTATGGATCCAGGCTCGCTGTGCTTGCGATATGTTAATTTAAAAGATGTTAAAAACAAAAAAGAAATTATTCCAACTGTTATCGTGAGAGGATCCAGTCTTGCAAATCCCCCAATTACAGCTCTGAAAAAGCATGGACTTAAAGGTTTAGATAAGGCTGCAGCTATGAATGGGTATTTGCATTCATATTTTTTTAAATTATCCATGGCCCCCTCTCTGGATTCTCCCTTGGGTAAGAGTCGCTCAAGATAAATCGCCAACGAGACGGAGAATGATAGGCCGACTCCGAAAAATGCGGAGCGAAAATCTGAACATTTGTGCAGGTGGATGAAGTTTAAACAGGCGATTTGCCTAGAATAAAGAAGGAAGAGGAAGAAAGACTTTGAACAAAAACATTAATGATCTGATTTACCAGATTAAAAGTCAATTTCTAATTTTGAATGGAAAATACTGAGTTCGTTTTTATTTGGGTAAAAGGGCATTCAGCAATATAATATTGAAATAATAAATTGGAAAATATTCCCCAACTTTAAATACAACAGAAAATTTAATCATCAATGTCGATTTAATTCCAAAATAAAAATATATCCATAAGAAAGGGTCAAGAAGAGTTGTTATAGCTTAGGGTCAGATAGGTTTTCTTTTTGTTTATTTTTCGTCTTTTATGAAGCTATAATGATATCCGAAACCGCACGCAGAGGTTATTTAGACACCATCGCCGTCAATGCCAGAAACCTATCTGCTAAACAAACACCCTCCTCAACCGTGAATTATCGGCCGGACCACCCTGATTGGGACGAATCGTCGGCAAGGAATTCACCCGATCTCTCATTCACGCACGATTCTCACACAGTCTCGAACTTTCTCACTACGACTGAATCCTTCTCTCCCTCTGTTCCTCATTGTTCATGTTTAATCTCGCCTCTTCTCATTCTGCCTTATCTTCTTGCTTGCTTCTGAGCACCCTCCCTTCCTTCGGGTCGCCTTTCCTTTTGTTCCTTTCCTTCCAACATTCTCTGAACGAACTGATCTGACGAACTAAGCATCCTCTCCATCAGTTCAGTGACTGATTGCACCCTACCTCCTAGCTCTCTCCCAAGCAGGCTCCTCTCGTTTATACTATCTATCTTACATCTATCTATCGCATACCAATAGAATGTGTAAGAAAGTGTCCGGTATTTCACAGAAGATACATTTGTCAGTTTCTGCCTTTCCAAATCTGTAAAGGTATGCCCTGAAATAACCATGATCTGTGAGCATCTGTATCAAGAGATAATCCAAATTCCGATGTCTAAACTCTAGTCCATTCATCTTCTTATATTAGAAATCAGCAAATTCGTTCACTGCGTCACCAGAATGGACTTCTACCTTTATACTTTTTTTAAACGTTGTGTTGGTATATTTTCATTTCTTATCTCGTATATTCTTCTTCTTTCCTCTACTAGTACGTGCATCGGAATACACCCACTGATACCTCGCTCCGCCTCTGCAGTTACTGTTCTGTATGTACATGCACCCTCAATAGACTCTTCTAATCTGCTCGGGAGAGCTGCTTTCTGTACGCCTTTATTAAAACTGCAGTACTCCAGACAGGCATAGCTTAGATGACGAGTCCACAACAGAATTAAGGCCCTTCTCCTCTCAGTTTTGGGCCCCTCTGGTATTGGGCATGATCCTCTCCAACGCGGCGGCTCTCACCACTTCTCTTTGAGTCGCCGCCTTTATTTGCTCAGTGCTCAGTACAGCTTGAACTGGTTCATTACGATTTTGTCTCCCGGGGGTCAGATAGGTACCGCTTCATTAAGAAGTGTGACCGGTTTGATCTTCGGACATGTGGGTCCCACAGATCCATAGGAACAAACATGTCACTTGGATCTGGGGTTTGTACAAGTTGTATGTGTATCTGTGTGTGGAAAGCAATGTCATAAGAAAATACTGAAGATCTTATTGTTATAATATACTACATACGGAAAGCAAGCTAAAAATGCTAAATAAAATCTCAACCACCAGATCACAAAAAAAAATAATGAATTCAAAGCTCCCATAAGGGAAGTTGATGTAGAGCAAATTAGTATCCAAAAAGTGCACTGTACTAGAAAGTACTGAAGCAAGTAACACAAGTAATAGGGATGCTAATTTAAAGAAATATACTAAGCAAAACCTTAGGCTCCGTTTGTGAAAATGTTGTGGCACCATTAATGACGACCAGAAATGTGTGACATGAAAAATAAAATCATAACCAAAAAAAAAATAAAAGTGAAAATATCACCTGGAATAAATTAGCTCCTTCTTCTTTAAATATACAAATCGAACTTCGATGATTCTGGATACTACGAGGGTCTTTGTCAGACATAGACAAAGTAAGGAACAACCAAACATATAAATAAAAAAGTTAGTGATTAATAAAATTACAGATCTCAAATTACATACTTATTTACAAATCTTACACATTCTTCTTCTTGATGTGCCCATCTGTAACGAATATATTCATATTATTCATAATGTTAGTCTGCAGTAGTACAGAAAAGCTGCAGAGCACAGTTGTTATGTTGATCCAGGTTCTGAGGTTCTTTAGCCATGATGATCTTCTTCTTCCTGGATCCCTCTTTCCAACTATTTTTCCTTGCAGGATGATGCATGAGTTTGTAGGAAGACACATCTGGATTCAATTCGCATAATATGTCCTTCTGGGATACAGTTCAGAATATAATTATTTACAAGGGAATGGTACAAATCACAATGGACACGATATAATTTTCACTTTTGATAAATGGGGGTGATTGATGTGTCGGTTATCGTGTTTTCAATATTTATACGAAAGTGAACCATAAACATAAACGAGACGCTTCCAAGAAAGAGAGGCTGGTAATGCTGTCGAATTTAAATAATAGTTATTAATACCTTTGAAATTAATTTATAATAGAAATTACCCAAATTGTACGATTACACTATTTTATTTACTATTTCAGTTCCAGGTTGAAAACCGTTTTCAAAGTATAAGGTTTTTATATTTATATAAGTTATTATTACTGTCTAGCGTAGCTATCTTTAAAATAATATTTATTTTTTTTTTTTAGGAAGCACATGTCCTCCTTTCAAATTTACTTCAAAAGTAACCAGTTTGTAACCATGGAAAGAAACGAATTGTTTGGAATTACCGACTTTTTGGCCAACTTTGGTGGTTTACTGGGGTTATTCGTAGGATTCTCGCTGCTGTCTCTAATAGAAATTGTTTATTTTTTAACGTTGCGAATATTTTGCAACGTGGCTTTGTTTGGAAGACACAACTGGTCTGGAATAAAGGAATAATTAGAAGCGTTAAACAAAATTACTTTATGTTTAAGCTAGTTATTTTTGTAATAAAATTATATAAATTGTTTTAGATTTATTTTTACACACATCACAAAAATATTATATTCATATTATTTCTTAATTTAATAATGTATTTGTATATATCTGCACTCCATCACTTATTCTTATCTTGACTTCACTAATTCAAACTAAACATGACAAGTAATAGTAAAAATTAAAATAATGTATTCGGTACTTCTGTCTAAGAATTTACTTTATAAGTTCAACTACTACAAAAAACAAAAAATGTACAGCCCAGCATTCAAAATGGTCATTTCCAATAAATTCTTGGTGTGGTGAATCATAAGATTATAAAAAAAAATTTACAAATTGTGTCTAATTAAATCTAAAAATAAAAAGGAAGTAAAGGAAGGGGGTACTTAAAAATAAATTAGTAACAAATCAGTTCTTTGCGCTAACGAAATAAAATAACAGTACAGCACTCCTGGTGGGATGATAATATTATAATATTACAAGTTAGCAATATAGAACTAACATACGTTTATAATTTTAAACGATTTGAGGATTTCTACTAATTGGCCTCGATTTTGAGCCTGACATAAGTAGCAGCAGCAGCAGCAATGTGATTAAAACCAGCCTGAAAGACTTGCACACCCCTTTGATTGCACCGCGTGCCAATGCTCCAGGTTATCACTTTCCCCCCTATAGCACTCTGATGCGCGATAGGAGCTCTCTTATTAGTCAAGTGCTTGTCGTGTGGCAGTTCTAGGTACAAAAACTCGTACACGATATTCTAATTTCATCAAAGCAGACTAGCGTCAAGCGCTTTTTCCCTGCTTCTCCTGCTTTCTACGCCTAATTTGGCAACTCGGTGCTCGAGGATGTGGGTCCTTCGTGCCGGATTTTGAGGTTGTATTATATTTTTTGGATGGCTTTCGTATTTTTTGTTAGTATTTTATAACTTTTTGGTGGCCAAAGCCGTTTCTTAGGTTTTTTATAATTTTGTTGTAGGATGTCTGAAAAATAAAGCATCAATAATAAGCATAACACTGTGCCATGAGTTTTCTTCTTTGGTAGAGCTACAAGCTTATCTAGTATTTATATATCAACCAGGATTTGTTGCTTTTGTCGTTTGTTATTTCATCGATGGGATGCATCATACCTTATTATCTATCGCAGTATCGGGCTTGGATGGTTTTCTAGCTCAGCGAACTTAACTCAGCCTTTTTATATCATCGTGTCTATCACAATTATTTGCTGTAGTTCTCTGAACAAGAAGCGTTCAGCGACTTATCTGGGTTCATTTATTGCTTCACGTAGGTTGTTGTTGTGGGCCGCGTATATCCTTTTTCTGCTTCTACTAATTCTACTCCGACTATCTGAGTATTGCAGATATATCCGCATGCGAGAGATGCACATGTTAATGTAGGCAGTATGATGTTTACCAATGTTAATTTTGTTTGTGTGCGTAGTGTGCTGCACAGTACATTAAAAAGTCCTTTCATTTCTTTTCCTAGTTTGCATTTTCCCAGAATGTTTGTAAGGTGGTCATCGGTTGTCTGAATTTGAACTCTGAGTAGACTTCCGCCATTTACATACATCCACTGACTGACTAAAAACCTCTGCACTGCTGGTAGCTCATTTCAGATCATCAACCCTACATATTGTCTACATGTCTATATCAACCCTGAGAGAGAACTCTATGGCAGCGATTGCTAGTAGGATGATATAGCATGTCTTCCTCTATTTTTACCATATCATAGGTGTTATGAGACATTGGTACTACAGTGGCGTACCGCTTCCTTCTGTGTTGCAGTTCGAAAGGGTAGGTGATTTAGTTTAAGGGCTAGATATTACTGGAGTTGGGTATTGATTTTTTTCGGGTTAGAGTAATGAAAGGAAGTTAAGTGCTTGCGTAGGGCAAGATTCGCTAATGCCTTTGATGCATCTGTCTTCTACTGAGTTAGTGAAAGAGTACTAACCCGCTAAGTCGTAACTTTTTACTTCTTTGAATTTAATTAGCCCTTTACATTGTATGTGTACTTCTAGAGTACGTAAATATTTTGTTGGCTTGTTATTCTCCAATTCCATATATTAAGTTTTCTCTTTTTCACATAATTTTTATATACATATACAATTACCACATGGTCTTTTGCTGTGCTCAGTTTTAGCTAATTTGTAAACTGTATTTAGTTCAATTAATTGTTTATACAACATAATCTTATAATGTCCATTGTCGTAAGCTTCTTTACATATTTAATATCATTGACTGCTACATGTCTTTTTGAGGTAACACACTTAATAATAACTTTTCTATGGATGTTTGGTTTTTCATATTGTTCGTTTTAGATGAACTGATGATGCTCCCTGATTAGAAAGCGAGACGTCTTTAATAAATAGATGAAGTAGCGACCTTCTTCGTCTTTTTTCTCTCCACCTTTTGACCGAAAACTCCACCACTCTTCGAGTGATCCTTAATTTATATTGGATTGACGGTCGTACTCCTTTTCTCAATATTTATATATATATATATATATATATATATATATATATATATATATATATATATATATATATATATATATATATATATATATATATATAATAGCGTTAAAGATGTTCGGTCGCCCAAAGTTACTAGGGAGGTTCTTAAAACAAATACTTATTCGCTAAATACGTCAATTGAAAAGGATATTACATACATATACAGTAAACACTTGCACTGTTTTTTTTTTATTTTTAGTACTGTATCATTTTAGTTATAATGACTATCTACAGAACACTGATTAGACCCGTAGTAACTTATGGATGTGAAACTTGGGTAATGACGAAAAAATATGAAGCCCAACTCAGGACATTCGAGAGAAAAATACTGGGGAAAGTATATGGTCCGGTACAAGAGGAAGATGGCACATGGAGAATCATGAGAAACGACGAGGTTAATGAGTTAAATGAAGGTTATGACATTGTAAGATTTCTGACAACAGAATGTCTAAGACTGTGAAAAATCAAAGACTGTCATGGCTGGGACATGTGCAGAGACAAAACGATGCAAAAACAACAAAGAAAATGTTACAATGGAAGCCCATAGGAAGGCGAAAAAAAGGAAGGCCCAGAACGAGATGGTTGGATGACGTGGAAAACGATCTGAAAACAATGAACATAAGACGATGGAGAAGAAGGGCACAAGAGAGATCTGAATGGAAGGACATAGCTAGACAGGCAAAGACCTATCCAGGGTTATGATGCCAAAAGAAGAAGAAGAAGTTTTCTCTTTATTATATTCAATTAAATAAAAATACTATATCATTTGGTAGTATACACTCAACTACCCTGCAATACTAATATTAACATTACTGTACTTCCCACAACCAAAAATAATAACTAAAATAGACAAAAAGTCGTAAAATTTTATTATTTCATAACTCTTTTCGACGTGAGAGATAAAGTAAATGCGTCACGCTGATGCGAAATGTTTAAAGAAATATAAGTGTTTATTGACTTGAAATTCGCCCACTTTGAGTTGACACAATTTCGCAAAAAAATACAGAGTCACTAAAAATTACAATCGAAGAAAGTGTCACTTAAATTTTAGAGGAATTTTAACCACCCGTCCACTACGTATATATCTTTGGTTATTTAAGTCCGGTACTCTATTTTTTATCACTCCCGCTCTCTTTTCAACCTGGAGTCGACAAACGTTCTCTTGAGTATCCTGAATTATATCGGTCGGCAACGAATGCGTTTGTACTTTGATTTCCCTTCTTGTCTTTTGCACACACCTCATTATTTTAAAATGAACGGCACAATCCGTCTAACCCCCAAAGTAAAATATTTTTCGCAGAGCAAACTAAGCAGTATGTCTACATGATCAGAGCTTTTATGAAAGCCCAAAATCAACTTACGCTAAAATGTTCTCAACTTACTCTCAAATGTTCAACTGGAAGTAAGATAGGAAAACGAAAATATTCCATGCCATGTCTCTCAGTAACGCGAGTTTTTAAACGTATAAGTCCAAATTCATCATCAACCAACGAGTTTAGCGAGGAAATTGGTTTAGTATCTGAAAATAGTTTTAATACAAACATTTCGGTTTTATCGATTTCCTCAACGACCAATTCACTTGTAAGTTTTTCTTTTGAAAATTGTATTATAACAAAATCGTAGCGCCCAAACTATCATTCTTAAAAGGTTTGTGTAGTGAGAAAAGTAATGCAGATGCCAATCGTTGGACGTTATATTCCCTAATAACGAACTGGCTTTTTGAAGAAAAAAATCAAGTTGGCTAAAAAGAAGAAAAAAAGTTCGGGACGAAATTTTTATCTTTTCTTGGTACAAGCTATTTTTTTATCGACCTCTACTTTTTGTTGTGGCCAGTAATTTTCGTTTCTGTACAACAATTTATTTGAACAATGCCCAACACCAGTAAACGGTCCAAATGAAATTCCCAGCGAAATTATCAAACTACTCGACGATAAAAGCAAACATTCTCTTTTAAACCTCTTCAATAAAATATATGAAACAAGGTATATAATAACAGACTAGCTACTTTCAACATTTGTAATGATACCGAAAAAAATAAACGCAAAAGAATGTAGCGATCATCGCACTATCCGTCTAATGAGCCATGTACTGAAATCATCTTAAGAATTCTTTACTCGAGGATATACAACAAAATAGAAGTACAACTAAGCGAAACACAGTTTGGTTTCAGAGACAACCTTTGAACCAGAGAAGCATAATTCAGTTTGCAGGTCCTGGTTCAAAAATGTAGGAATATAGAATAACCAGTATATATTATTATTAGTTATTATTACAGAAGAATATTAAAAATTCAGTGGGTTCAAAGGATTACCAATGCTGAGGTACTACGACGTCTAAATAAGGAGTTAGAAATTATGAACAGCATAAAAAAAACTAGAGTATTTGGGTCACATAACCAGAGGAGAAAAATATGAGCTGCTGAGAATTATTATGCAAGGAAGGATCCAAGGAAG